AAAAAAAAAAGAAAAAAGGGCAGTTTGGCTTTCCATCACTTAAAAGAAGCAAGAAAGCCGTCAGCTTTGGACTTTGGGCAAGAAAACAGAAATTTTGATGGACAGATGATAAGCAAGAACTTAAAAGATTAAACACTGCATTTGGCAACTAGAGCAATCCCATTTTTTATGCCATAATAATGTCACCTAATCCAAGCAATCAATACTGGCATTTCTTCTTTCCAATTGGCCATTGGGCACAACATAATTTCCTAATGTGATGGCATGAGGAAGAATTTTAATTTAAAGCTCAAGTTTCACATCGACTGCTCTTCGAGATGTTATATATGATGAAAGCACCTCCATGTCGACGAATTTATAAACAATATCATGCTGGCAGGTGGTAGACCCAGCAATAAAATAAAGTAACTCAACCTTTTCAAACCAACTAAACATTTATCATTCTCCATTGGATGGAGAATTTGTTGTGCAAGACTTCCAAATCCTTTTAACACAATGGTAGAAAAGCATATAAGTTTTCCAGTTGACTTGTTACTCTTCTTCAAGTCTTTGGTTGGTATCGCGTTGATGCAGAATTGCATATTTCAGCAATAGGAAGATAGAACTAGGATCAAAATGAAAGTCAAAAGGTGAAAAACTTCTTAAGAATAGCGCAATAACGACATCAATCAACAGATTCACTGTCGTTTCGCACGGAAAAATGTGCCAATCTTCCTAAGGTCATCTACTTAAACACACAAGAACTTTTTTGTCTGGTAATACCCTATAAAAGCAGCTCAAATTTCAACAGTTTGGATCAATTTACGCCTCATCCAACGCCTAATAAATTGTCAGCTGATCGTACCGTGGTTCCGGTATGAACATTTTGGACTTGATCATACATAAGGTGACTCTAAACAGCTTTTAACCAATCAATTTACTAGTTATAAAGATTAAAACCAGCCAGGTTGACGAGCCTTTTCTTTTCTCCTATAAAAATATGCCATTACGAAGCTAAATTCAACACAATTTGGACTATTTAACTCAATATAGTAATGAACAATAAAAAAAAACTGACCTCATGGCTATCCGAAATTCCAGAAACGGCGTCGACGAAGGCTTTTCCATATCCGGTCGAGTTATCGAGCCACGCAACATCGAGCACAAACAGAACAGCTCCCAGAATTCCGGTGAAGTATATCCACGAAGAGATCTTCTGCTTCGCCAAGTCGAAGGTGGCGGAGTCCTCGCCGACGAGCGGCGGATCCTCGGCGTTTCCGAGGGAGCTTCCGGCGAGCAATTTGCTGAAGGATAAGCGGGGATTGGGAGAGGAGAGAGAGGGCTTGGGTTTGAAAGAGGTTGAATTGGGGAATTTTGGGGTTGTGACGAAAGAGAGGGATGTGGGGAGACGAATTGCGAGAGGTTTGTGATGATTGGAGCGGTGAGGGACGGAGGAGGAGGGGATTGAGAGGAGGAGAGTGGAGGAGGAGGCCATTTTTCTTTCAATGGCTCTGCATTTGTGTTGTTTGTTTCTCGAGAAAATGAAGATAGGAAGTGTGGAGGGAATCTGGAGGGAAGTATGCTCTTGAGTGGAGGTTTTGGACAGTTAGTGGAAGGTGGTGGGTGTTTTGTTTATCTATTTTATTGCAAGTGGAGTTGGTGCCACGTACCGAATTGCAGGCATTGGGTTAGATTAAGGGTTATTCACAAAACTATAGACCCGTTTCGTAATGTTTTTAAAATAATTTTATTTTTAGTAAAAAATAAAAGTGAAATTATATTTAATTATATTTATATTTGTTTTAAGTATATATAATTAGTAATCTTAAATTAATATATTAAGTAATTAATAATTAATAATTATTTAGC